TCAGTTTAGGTATTAAATGTGTCCCTTTAGTATCAAAGACTAAACCAAAGATTTGCTATCAAATTCAGAGACCTAAAACAAAGAAATGCAGGAAGACTGAGGGCTAAATCTGAAGACCCCCACCCACCCCAAAACTTAAAACAGAATCTGGGTCCAGCAGGACTCTGGGCACTGTGTCAAAAACTGGTTTAAAAAACAACAACAAACAAACCAACTCTGCCACTTCAGCAGTTACCTAATCATAGAGGTGCCTTAACTTACTAAAGGCTTCCTGTTTGACCTGAACATTTCCTCAATGCCTTCTAGGTCTGCTTCTGAGCCTGCACAGAACTGCTCTAGCCTAAAAATCAAGTTGACTATGTTGCATCTAAGTGCCATTAGGATCCAGAAATCAAGCAGAGCAAAGCCTAGGTCCTCTCTGACATACGATGTAGTAGGCAAGCTCAGAGTAAGCTTAACAAACCCCAACAAGATCAGGCCCCCGCACAATATGCAGTTATATAGCTTTTTTATAACGCTTAAAGAGGAGGAAGTGGTTGTAGGGCCAATGTCTAGTTTTTATATGGTAACTTGGTGATTACAGCACTCATCCAGGAGATGGGAAGCCTGGGATCAAGTCCCTTGACAGTGTAATAAGGGTCAAAACCATATTTCCCACCTCTCAGCACAGTGCCTTTAAGACCAGGCTATTGGCTAGTCCAGGTAAGGGATAGGACTCAGCTTGCTGCACAGTGGTACAGCTTCAGTAGGGAGTGCTAAATTCATAGTGTTGGGAAGAGTGGGTGTGAGAGGGACCATGACTGTAGTCTAGTAGTTTGGGCACTTGCGTAGGAGAACTGAGTCTTGGGTTCTAGCCCTTGTGCGCAGCACTGACTATGCACTGTTATGCAAAACCACCTTTACACAAAACTCAGAAATACTTCTGAGATTATGAAATGGAAGCCATGTTCCCCCTCCCCAGCTGAACACCCCAATCTCTGTGATACAGAATCAGGTTCCTTCTTGTGCCCTCTTTCATACTAAGAGTCTTGCATTCTTGGCTGCACAATAGACTAGCTTCAACAAGGGGAAGGAGATTGTGATCCCACTCACCCTAACCTATAATTCAGTGCCTAGAACATTCTCCTTGGAGTTGAGAAATGTGGGTTTGAAACTTCTCAAAGTTTGAGAAATGCCTGTAGGCCAGATCTCCCACATCCTGGGCCAGGTCTCTAACCATCAGGCTACTATAATAAAAGGCTGGTGCCACCATCTCTTCCTCCTCGTGCCTTACTACAAAAGAAATCAGTGAACTCTGCTCTGGTGTTTCAAAAAATTGATGTCGGTGCCTACCTTCCAGAGGGGGTTCCTGTGTACTGAATCCTGAGTGGATGGAGGTACCTGCTTGCAGCCCTGAGTCAAGCACCTGAGCTCTAGAGTAGCAGTTGGATTTCAGATGAACACCTGTGTTTCACATTTCCTATTGGTTAGCTCTAGGCATCTCCCCACTTTGCCTGGGTGGTGGGAGGGTTGGTAATCGACTGCCTTTCCATGACACTTCTCTCTCCCTATGAAGTGAGTAGGCAGCCTGTAACTCCATATAGATTGTAACTCATATTTCCATTTCACACTGGAGGACAGGCACCTAAAAGGTGTGCAGCAGCACTTGCCAGGCGACTAAGCTACCAAGGCAACCTTCCTTTGGACAATCCATTCCTCTTAGGTAGGAGATAGTTACTGTCCAGGGTGTTTGTATGTGAACAGAGGACAGTCATTATTTAAAGATTTTTTGTTGTCATGTCTGTGCTGCCACCTTTTACAGTGTCAGCTCAACCAAGAGGTGAAAAGATAGTGGGAAAGGGAAAGGACTGTGAATACAGAATGGGATCAGTGGCTTTGTGCAGAGACCTACAGAACAAGGGTAGACCCAGGGGGGTTGCACTGGTGCACTTGCACCCCGCTTTGATTCCACCTCTACCTAGAGTTTAAAACCAACTGCCTGGCAGTGGTAGCAGCAGTGCTGAGGGAGTCAACTGACTTCATGCCTCATTGTAATCTACTTGATTCCTTCTAAACTCTTCATTCCCCAAGTGTTACCAATCCTCTCTCCTTTTTAATAGTCTTGATGTTCCATCAGTCAAGCTGCCTTTTGTTCTACAATTTGTCTGTTAGCTGCCCCTCCTAATGAAGCTCCTATTTCACAGCCCTGCAGTGTGTTTATTCTAATGAAGTTATATTTGTTTTTGCTTCAAATTTAAACTGAATAATACAACCCTAGGTCCATAGCATATTATTAAAGCTTCTGGTTTTTAATTTTAACTGGAGACAAATGTGTGATATTTTATATGTGATGATGATGCACCCCACCATCTGCACCTCCCTTTTCAAAATTGTAGCTTCCCCCCATGCTACAGTGTTGATAACCACACACAGAATTGCTAAATTGCACAGGCAGGTTTCAACAGATGGTCCCAGTCTTTCAAAACAACAATGTTAAATCCCTGTATTTTAAAAATACCACCTGCAACATTCCCCTTATGCTGATGTTCCCATGTTTTACCTGTAATTGTATTCTAATACTTTGAATCTATTTTTTCTTAGTTTTTGCCAGCAGGTGTCAGCATGCCAAGGTTTCATAGGTTTAAAAGCAGCACAGATGAGTTTACATAGATTTACCACCTTAGTTATTCCTCCTTGAAAATTTCCTGTCTGTTGATTTACTTCTTGTTTTATCTTTTTATTTTGGTGTGCGCTTGTTTCTTAATCCTGATATCACCCTTCCTCCATTTCTTCTCTCATTTCAGAAATTGCACATACTTCTACAAACAAGTTGTTCTATTAGCACAGTACTTTGAGTAGGCTTTTGAGACTCACTGGGAAGACACTGCCAGAAACCACTGACATAAGATTGACATAATTTCTGAAACTAGCATATTTAAAGGAGTGTTGGACAAATAACAACTTTCAGCCTTCATTTCTTTTTTTGAAATGTGTTGACATCCAAAATATTATTTCCGCACGTCTAACTGCACCAACACAATACTGTGTATCTTCCTAAAAGTCAAGTGGTGCATTATTAGTAAAAGGTATTACAACTATGTAGACATTTAACTGCAAACCATATAAACTTTTTTTACAAAAAACCAAAAATGTTGTGATTGTTACGCTATTATCAGAGGCCTTTGATGCAGAAAATCATACAAGGCAGCTGAAGAACAAAAACCATTGTTCAGTACTGATGTCAGCAAGTGGTTCTCAACCTTTTTAGACTCGAGGGTCCCCTCCTTAGACTCAAGGCACCCCTCAGAAAATGTCAGCTCTTGGTTTTCACTCAGTTCTTGACTACAAAAAACAATACTAGAGCCATTTTCCTGTTGCAAAGAACTTGGAAAGACCACAACAGGGCAGGATGTTTTGAATACTCCAGATTCCTATTTGTACTCTCTCGGTATATCTCAGGAATCATGCTTGCCCAATTAGCAGTGCTAACATTGTGTGGCCTCCTGGGGCACTCTTGAAAGGATCTCAAGGCACCCCAGGGTACCAATGCATTCTGGCTGAGAATCACCTGCCTAGAGCAAGACCTAAGAATCATCTGCCTAGACCAAGATGGCAGGTATGAGCCAGCGTTAGTTATGTGGTGATCCCTTCACAGCTCTGTTGCTGGATTCAAGGGGTGAGACTAGGCTTCCCATTCAAAGGATTACTACTGGCAGTAGAGGCAGTGGTTCTGAGTCCTCCTAGAGGCACAAATGAGGACAGCACTTAAAAACCAATCCTATGCAGTCTCTCAGTGAAGGGGGGGGTGTTCATTATAACATCCTCTCCTTGGTTTTAACATGACGGATGGAGGACAAGGCTGAAGTTAGTTCCTTATTCCCAGGGTTTGGATTACAGGGGAGCTTGGGGGGGGGGCGGTAGGGGGCTGAGCCCCTCCGTAAGAGGCAAAGACCCCCCATAAGACTTGAAAATCATAATCTGGGGGGTTTCAGATTTTGTTAGAGCATCCTGATGGGCAGCCCAATTTTTGTTTTTTGCAAGAGTCAAAGTGTAATTCAAACCCTGCTTATTCCCAGTTCCTTATTCCTGGTTCCCAGTTCTTTAGTTTGGGATCCTGGTTCCTTTTCCAAAGCAAATCTTTACACAGTGAAAGGTTGTTTCCCAATGAGATGTGCTACAGAGGTAATCAGAAATGGGTATTTATGAATGAAAATGGAAAACAAAACAATATCGTGGACCAGGTACATGGCCTCGAACCAGAGGCTAGGATTAGGCTGGGATTGTGGGGCAAAAAGCTCTTCAGGTGAACCAGGAACAAGGAACTGGGGATAAGGAACTGAAATAAGGAACTGGCCTTAGGGGAGGGCAAACTGGGTGACCGCTTGGGGCCCCACACTTTAGGGGGCTCCAATTTTTTGGGGGGGGATGTCGTTTTTGCAAGGAAGTGGCTCTATTTGCATTTTAACGATTGACTATTTATCTAATTCCCCCCCAAGAATATTAAAAAGATCCACAATACACCTGTGGTGGCTTGGATATTTACCTGGTACATAGCCTTAAGGGGCCCCAAATGACTCTCTTGCCCAGGGCCCCAACAGCCCTAAGGCCACCACTTCTGGCAATAAGGAACTGAGACTGGGGAAGCAATTTCTGCCTCATGGATGGAGGTCAGTCCACAGCCAAGGTGACACCGCCCGCAGGTTGGGGACAGGGAAGGGGAGGAGGAGGTGGGTCAACCCATCCCCAAATCAGCAGGAGCAGTGTCCCAGGATAACCTGCGGGTCTCGCCGCCCCAGCGCTGGGAGCGGGCGGGGGCCGGGGCGGAGGCGCCCCCTCAGGGGCAGTGCGGGCGGCAGGTGCTGCCCCTGGGCGGGGCGGGGGGCGGGCCGGGAAGGTGCAAGGAGGGGGATGCACCTGGCCAGCCCCGCAGCTCTTCCCCCTCCAGCA